TAAATTCCCATAATATTTTCTGAACCTATCTAGTGATCCAAGTTTTGAATGGCAACTTAATTTTGTTGAATCACAATATTGAGCCCTAACAGAAATGTCATTTATTTGCCTCCTGCTGTTTATATCATCTAGATGGATAACTGAATCTGCAGGCACCACAGGCATATATTCTTTCACATGTGATATTACAGAATGCACAGTACTATCTGCAGGAAGTGAGGCTGATGTACTCTTTTTCTTTAGCCATTCCTTTGTATTTCCTATATGTATGATATTGGTTTTTGTCATATTTTCTAGAGAACTTGGAATCTGCTCTGAAAATTCTAGCTGTTTTTCAAAGATATCCTTGGCAGTTACTGGACCCAGTTTAGCCTGTCTGTTTAATAAATTACTAGATTCTATTGTTTTATATGATGGCTGATTTTGAGGTAAATATGCTGTAATGTTTTCAGAACCCAGTTTCAAAGGATCTTGTTCTACCATCAATCCTCTAGCAATATTTAAGTCAGTAAAGGATTCTCTGCCCTTTTTTCCCAATTTGCATTTTCCCATCATGCTATGTCCAAAAATATATTTACTTTTACATTCATCATGTTTTTCATTTTCATTACATCCCATATTGCCCAAATCAGGGCTTCTTTCCTGGATCACTGTATCTTGTTGACTATTTGCATCTTTCTTCCCATGGTTCTCAGTACAAAGCAAAGTATCAGAATGCTGGTCTGTTTCCGAAATCTTGTCTTGGATGCCAAGTTCTTCTGGCCATTTGGAACTCATAACATCAATGTGTAATTCTGACTCTTCGGGGTATTTACTGAATTTTAGAAAATCAGAATTAATGTCTTTTTTATTGGGCAAAAGATACTTATCTTTATTACTTCTCAATTCATGAACAGATTCAAAACCAGTTACATCTGAGTAAACACCTACTTCTTTCACATTGTTAATAGGTTGTATATTATCTTGTATCTTCTTTGTCAGAGTTGCTTTCCTTCTAACAGATTTTGACTGCAGATTAAAAGTTTCGTAAGATTCTACAATATTATCACATGCTGACTTAAAGGTCTCCTGAATATTCTTCTCTTTGGGGAGAGAAGATTGTAAAGCTGTTGGGTTACCCAAACAAAAATCATTATTTTCATTAAAGTCTGTAATATCTTCACCACACAACTCAATAAATAGATGTTCTTGTTTTAAAAATGCCTTTACTCCTTCTTCAAGGCAGGTTAGAAGAGCATTCCATCTGCGAAATTCTATTAAAGTTTTTGCAGGTTCCAAACATATATCATATTCATCATGCTGACACTTCACATTGATAATAAACACACCATGGAGTTCTGAGCCAGAACGATGGCGGACAGGACTTGAGAGCAAAGATCCAGTTTTTGTTTTACATATAACACTCTGTTTCCTCAACAGAAAAGCAATAAGCTTATGTAATTTTGTTTTTAATATCAATCTATTATTTACATACAAAAACTGAATATTCTTATTGTAATGTCCTTCTGAACTGATAAAGCCCATTATTTCAAATCCTGCAGACCTATAATTTATTTCCCGTAATTTCTGAGATTTACCTAGACCATAAATCTGAGAAAAACGTGTGCACATATCTTTTGTTTTGGGTAGCTGAAGCACCATTGAACAGAAAGCTTCATTCCGTAAAGAAAAAGAAACTGATGGATGAACAAGTGAAAGAGCTTCTACTTTATGTCTCAGCCTCTCAAATTCCAGTGTGAAATTCATGCACTTTCTCCTCACAGGTAACTGGTGGTACAAATTGTATACAGTCACTGTTGTTCCAAGACTTGGCCTATTCAGTTCTGCTTCTGAGACTTCAAGACCTTTTCCATTGTGAAACAGTTTCAAGAATGTTTTTGCTGTCCTACTTGTCCTGGATAATATTTCCAATATACTGGCCATACTTGCAATACTTGCCAAAGCCTCTCCACGGAAGCCATAAAACTTCAGATTTTCTAAGTCTTCCAATGAATAACATTTACTAGTAAAGTATCTATTGCCTACATTGTTGAGATCTTCTCTTCCCATCCCACAGCCATTGTCCACCACCTGGACCTTAAAGGTTTCCAAATCCACTCTAATAGCAATACATGTAGCCTTTGCATCTATGCTATTAAGGATAAGCTCCTCAACACAATGTCCGACTGAATTAATGGCCACTCCAGAGCGCAAACTGGTTTGTACTTCTTCAGGCAAGCATCTGATCATTGTAAGAGAAAAAAATGTCGAAATCTCGGTCTATTGGTTATGCATTGACACCTGCCTTTTCTGTAACTGTCCTGTTAAAAAAAACAGAGAATCCAATAATATTTTAATTTTTTAGCCAGATATTTCACAAATCCCTTAATATTTTCCAGAGTGTTTCCCATGCTTATTTTGTATTTTAATTAACAAAATCCAGTTCAATTTAGAAAAAAAATTCTTTCATTTAAGTTCAACCTAGATATGTTTAGCTAAGATTGCTTTTAATTAAAATTGCATGCAGGAGCTATTAGCAGGGATGTTAACATTGCTCTCCCTGTGATCGCCCCCTAAAATGGTTTTTTTTCAGTCAAATCCTAATTCTCAGTTCCCATTAAGAACTGATTCGCTGAGTAGAGGAGAATCTGGACAATATATTTCTAAACTATAGCATGGAAAATATCAGAAAAAATGACTTGTGAGCTAACTTGGCGTTCTTTGATTAATGGAATTGTAATTTTTGCTGTGATATTATATTTACAAGTCAGTTTGCAATAGTTAACACTCTTACATTCATTAACACCACTCATTTTTGGCTTCTATATTTAGCCTGTCATACACTGATCTAAGTGCTCTCACAGGACTGTTGTGAAGATTAAAATGTGCTAAATCCCTTCCACGTACGCTAATAGTTTGGAAGCTTGGACGAGTGGAAAGTACGGTAAAATGTAAAACAAGTAAAAGGGTTTTATAATGTACATTTCGATAATGCTTGCACTGCCGAGGCTATTTTAGCAATGGACAATAATGAAATAGGAAGAAGTCCCACCTTTCTGCCAGATTTAAGGAGGAACTTTTGGCTTCAAGATGACTGATGACATGCGAGAAAGAGGGAGGAAGGTAGCGTTGTCCACATCAAGCAATTTCTGTCGTTAGTTCCGTTTTCTTCCCACCGCCTCTCCGCTGAAGTAACTACAAGATCTGCCTCCTTTCTTTCATCCCAGGTGTAGTCAGAGCAGCCCCGTTTCTCTTCCGAGTGTTTTTTTCCCCCCGCCGGACAAAATCACCTCAGTGGGACTCGACCCAACTCTCATCTTCCGCCCCTTAGTTAGCTTTATTGTCAATCACCGGAAAGCAGGTCGGTGCTGAGGAAGAAATTGGGCCTTCTCAAACGCCTTGTTAGAACTTCAATTCCCAGCGTACACCGAAATATTGCAATGCATTCTGGGAGTTGTGGTGTTTTTGTGATCTTTATTTACAAGACGAATCGAAGTTTTCTGTTAGCACCTCCAACTCACTGTATAATATAAATCTGAACTTGCTTCTGATCCGCGCTAGACCTCCTATAATCAATTATTCCTGAAGAATCTTGCCGCAATTAAACAGCTGCAGAATAAAAAAATCTTGAGCAAGGGAACAAGTAATGCAGAAAAAATGTTTAAATGTAGGTGGATACATATTTTCGGCTTAAATGAAAGTTTGAGCTATAATAACTGTGGACATTGTAAATGTCCAATTAGATGCTCTTTGACGCACTGGAATTTTTTATGAATTTTTACCATTTTGATACACAGCACTCTTTCAAAGTTGTCCCTCAAGAGCTTAAATATAAATCATTGCATTTAGGGAGGAGAAATAAGAATTATATAATCAAAATATGACAGTCACATAAAATGAGTGCCAGAAAAGGGCCTAATATTTTTAAATGGTTGTCCATTTTTTTTCACATATATATTTTTTATCAGCAAAGATAAAATACAGAAAAAACACCTTATAGGAATACAGTATTTCAGGTTGCCGAGGAGCTAAAAGGAATATTGTTGCTGAAACATGATTTAAGCAGTAGTTGGGCAGGTTCTGAGAAGTAAGTTAGAAACACATTTAACACTGCAGCTGTGCAGCTCTGGCTTGATAAACTCTTATCATATTCTAAGGCATATGTGCTATGAGAGAGAATATTTGAATATTGAGAAAGATATGTTGTTTAATAAAGCTGAGATTTTGCACATTTAGTTATTTATCTCACGTTTAGATTCAATATCCAGCAGTGCAGATGAGATACTTTTCTTGTCTGTAGAGATTTTCAGTCATCCGGGTCATGGTTGTCTCAAATGTGCTTTTTCAGGAGGCAACTGGACTTTGTTTTTTCTTTTGAAGACTTTTCGCTTCTCATTGAAGCTTCTTCAGCTCTTCCATTCCCCACTATCCTGTCAGAGCTGAAAGAGCTGCTTAGATGAGAAGAAAAATGTCTTCAAAAGAAAAAGCAAAAAAGTCCAGTTGCCTCCTGAAAAAGCATCTTTGGGACAATACTTTTGCTTGTGTATAGGTAAGTTATCAGTGAAAAAGAATCAGTCTTTAATTAGCCCATAGGAGTTGTATGAACACCACAGCCCTGCCAACTCCCCTCCCCCAATATGGTTATTATCTTCACATCTGTTTATCTTCATAGTTATAGCATGGTTTGTAACTAGGTTATACTGAAATGCAGAAGAATAAAAATATTTTTATACTTTGCATAGCATAGAGTAAATCTTGATCAGGGAAAGTCATTTATATTTATTTAAAATAGAGTTCCTTTTCTTAGTGTATATGTACCCTCCATATCAAGTTATTTTATAATTTATGAAACTTCCAAAACAAAAAATTAATAAGTTTGCAATGAAATTCTGTAATTTATATTCTCTATATAATTGCAATCTTTCAATATGTACATTTCATTTTTATACATAACTCTGGATATTATGCAGCAAATGTGTCTTTATTAACAGTCAAAATATTGGGGCATCACTCAATTCAGGAAATGTTTGTCTTAAAACTTTTAATAGAAGCTTCATATAATAAATAATTACAACAGAAATAATGCATTTAATCAATTAAAAGAAACGAATGACTTTCTTCTAGACAAGTCCATAGTTGACTTTATAAATCCAGTTCCTAAGCCTCTTATTTGATTATACAAAAGTCACTATGCTCCAAATGAGCAATTTTCTTTTCATTGTGGAATTCCGCTCTGTCGATGTGAGATTTGGGACTTCCAGTTTTCTGAAGCCATTCCTGAAGTTGGCGGACTTTGACAAGAGGTCCTTGGATTTGTCCTTGCACAGTGCCATAATTAGTATTTTGGACCCAGCCAACTAGACCCAACTTTTTTCCTTGTGCCTAAAAAGAACAATATACATGTAGATATTTAAAAAATCACACAAACACAAATACAATTAATCTGAATTATATAAAAACCTTTAGAATTCCTCTGTAGAGAATTATTATAACTCCACTAAATTACTGTATAATCCAAACTTCTGCTATGCCATTCAAAGATAAACAAAGATTAATTGGAAATGTATTATTTGTTGTTAAAAAGAGCTAATATAAAAGACAATGGCATCTTGTCATTGACAACAAGCTTCACAACCAGAATGTATTTGATTGTTGCAGCATCCTGGGATCATGTATTCACCATTTATGATTTTCTCTGTCAGCTTCTGATAACCAAAGTCAATACGAGAAGCCAGATTCAGTTAACAAGCACATGATTCATTTAACAACTGCAATGATTCACTTAATAACATTGGTAAAAAAGGTTACAAAATTGGGGTATAACTCATTTAACAACTACTTTGCTTAATAACAGACATTCTTGATCCCAATGGTAATCAAGCTGCCTAAACTAAGTCTCCAAAATTCTCATAATTATATGTATTTATTATATTCATATGTCACCCATTTCACTGTCAAGCAACTCTTGGCAGCTTACAACATAAAAACACACTATAAAATGATAACGTTCAGCATTAAAAATCAAAACATTAAATATTAACAAAGAACTAGATAAAATGGACCAATATATAAACTGGATGGAAGTAGAACCTTCTAATTTATTAGCTAACCACCTCCAGAATGTTCACCCATTTGGAACCAAGTGCAGGAGAGAAATGGGGGCGGGGAGTGACAAAAATTGCCAGTACCGTACAATCTCTTACCTCGGGGGAATTGCAGATGGAGCCCACTCACCTGGGTATGTTTGCGGAAAAATACCCTTTGCACCTTCCCAAACACCTCATAGTCCACCGAAGCGAGGTCGCTTCCCTCAGCCATGGTCGGGGGTGCCTGTACGGAAAACAAAACAGCAATCAGGCAGAAAGAGAGATTCAGGTGCCATACCTGCAGAGAGACCGTCCCTCGAGCAGCCTCCACATAGTGCATTGTCGAAGCGAGCCTCTCTCCGGTGCCTACGCAGGATAACTAAGTTAACCTGATTCTCGCTTCCCTCCCCTACGTCTCGCAAGGGAAGTTGGAGGGAAAGGCTCCCGGCCTCGCTCCGACAGGCCCTTCCCTTATTTCCACCCCGTTGGATAGAGAAGGTAAAAGCGCCTGAGATCTGGCGGGTCAGGTTTCGCCCGGGCAACGCGAAGGTTTCTCTTGCCAGCTTCGCAGATGGCTGTCAAGAGTGACCCGCCCCCTAGAACCGAGCGGGCACGAGCGGCGCACCAACGGCCGCTCACGACGAACACACCTCGCCGAGACAGGCTTCGTTCAGTACGGCGGAACCGAAGTGGAATTGATTAAACGACTAATAGTCGAGCGGCGCTGCTTTTTATGGCTAAACGGTGGGCACCTTGGGCTATAACTAACAACACATAATTAGGAAAAAGCCGGCACGGTTCCTAAGGTCTCTCTCTCTCACCCACCGGAAGCCGCTGAGGTGGAATCGGATGTAACGGGGGCGCGCTGCGGTTGCTACGCAACGGCACTAAACCGCCGCGTGAAGGTCTGGTGGTGCCGTTACGAGAAAACAGACAGGCGGGCGCGGCGTCGCGTGCGCGGCGGTTGTGTATCTGGAGCCGTCGGGCAGGCTACTTTGGTAGGTGCGTGAATTGAAGTTGTAGCAACGACCGTGCCTCCGTCGGTATCCTCTTACCTGAGTTTTGTCAAATTTCGAGCCGGCAGTTCGGGTCCCATTACAGTGTAAAATCATTAATGGAGACCAGCGCTAGTTTAATGCTGTGTAAGCTTGTAGCGGCCGCCTTTGGGGGAAAATAAAGGCACTCCCTTCAGTCCTCTTTCCTACAGAAGTGAACCCCAACAGCAAAATCATTCACAAGCAGTAACAATCTTTGGCTTATCTCGGCTGATACGAGAAAGCTAAGCGGCGTTGGAGGGGAGACAACTAGAAATCCCCGGAGTGTAGGCTACATCAGAAAGTTAAAAAATAATAGAGAAAATGTTCCAAAGGTGCTTTTTTTCAAGAGGCAGCTGGACTTTCTGGCTTTTCTCTGAAGAACCTAGAGAAAAGGAATGGTAAACCGTTTTAAATTGTTGCCAAGAAATTTAAGGAAGGGTATTTTACCTACAGAGACAGGCAAATGAACTGAAATGTGAGTTTGTTATTGGTCTATAATCACATAAGCATCCATAATCAATGGACTTATTTGTAACTGAGACCTTACACCTGCCACTTTTAGGCAATAAATAATATCCCATCTGCAAGGAAGCATTGCTTAAATGAGACCAGTTGTGGTTGATTTAATAAACAAGGTAGAGGAAGGATAAAATTATCAGGTGTTAAGTCTAGCTCTGTACAACCTGTTCACATTATAGAGATCTACAAATTGAAAATACAAAATCAGAGAAAAAATTGTCAGGATTATAGTGTTATGATACACCCAGTATTCCACACTGAAATAGATCTGATTGTATGCAAAAATTATGTGAAGTCTTCTACCCTCTACCGCAAAATCTTGGCAAACAAGGTGTTGCAGAGTACAGAATATAAATGCTGACTTATTATTTGGAAATGCAGTGAAGGCAAATAGAGATTCTGCATGGTGTGATCAAAATGTCATAATGCAATCATAATAGTATTATTAAATCAGTTCATTTTTATAAGTATTGTACACATTCCACACTTAAAAAATAGATGGAGCTTCAGTCACACCATTGTGACTATCATATTTTTTTTTTGATCCGTCGAGATAGGAAAGTGAGCAACTTTGTTTCTTCCAGTGTTGTGCAGGTGACCTTATAAAGAACCTGTCTGATCTCAATGTAAGATGAACTTGTCTTCCAGTTCTCGTTTCTCCTATGCATTTTTCTCAGCTCCATAGTAAACTTAAGGGTCATTTGTCTCAAGGGCTGTCATCCTATCCACTAAAACTATTTTCGTATTCTGTAGATTATCCAGTCTATCAGCATTATAGCTGACAGACAAAGTAGAAAATTCCTCCAAGTACACTCAGGAAACCATTGGACTATAATCCTCATCATTTTAACTGGTCTTCCTTGCTGCTTGTTTATACTAACCATCAGTTTGAAATTCAGTAGGTAATGATCTCTCAATGACTTACATAACAGAAAGGCTTCCCATTTTCAGATAAAGAGCCGTGGTGGCGTAGTGGTCAGAATGCAGTATTGTAGGCTAATTCTGCTGACTGCCAGGGGTTTAGCCCTCACCGGCTCAAGGTTGACTCAGCCTTCCATCCTTCTGAATTGAAATTCCATGGATATAGAGATAAGGATATTCTAAGATTGCACTGAGGTCATCCACAGGAAGAGAAGCATCAGGGAAGATGGTACACTAATAATATTATCTTCATATTGTCCCTATGGTAGCAGCATGAATTCAGCACTGGTAGTCCTGTGGAGATTTTCAGTCATCCAGGTCATAATTGTCCCAAAGGTATTTTTTTCAAAAGGCAACTGTAGTTTCTTTGTTTTTTCTTCAAGGAAAAACAAAAAAATACAGTTGCCTTTTGAAACAAATACCTTTGGATCAGCACTGGTAGACTAATGCTACACCTAGGGTTAGCCGAAGGATTTCATATAGACCAGGTCCATTGCACCACTGAATAATCCAATTTGCTACATTATGGAGTAGCCAGCTGGACAGTGCTAGGAAATGTGAGTGCATCCTTTTCGTCTGTGAACCATGTTTCTATGATACCCATGCAAACACTTTAATCAAGATTAAATCCTGTATAACAGATCTGGTATGAAATAGCAAGACCTTTAGGTTGTGTGTGGTACTTTTTCACCTACAAATGTAGTTGCATTCTAGGCAATCTAATAACTATCCAGAATAAGATAGGTATGGATGTGGTTGGTTTATATGGTTTCCACATTCAGATATTGCAAGTTATATTAGAAGCAATGCAGTTCTACCAAAGTACATTATTTCATTTGCACAGTTCTTTTTATTGATCATGGCTGAAATTGTACATTGATTTTGTTGGAGGACAACATTTAGGTTACTTGCGATCAGAGAATATTTTCTCAATCATAATAAAGGAATATGATTCTAGAATGAGAGCAGGAATTATAGCATGTATATAATTTGTTGCATTTCCTCAGATTTAGTGGAAATGCTGAATGGCTCAGTTGCAGCTGGCTGTGTGTTCGCATATGGATCCAATACCATCCAATTCCAGTCTTCCTGCAACAAGCCAGGAAAGATGTCATCCTGAAGTTCTTAAAGAACAGTCCCAGTTAGAACATCTGAGGAATAATATCCAGCAGCAACTTGTGTGCTGTAAAGATAAAAAATTGAAAGATCTTCATATTCTCAAAGAGCGGAGCTCTTCCTGTACTCAGCCTGCAGAAAGTAGTCAGTTGGTCTTAGATAAAGCAGGCTTTTATTCTGCTGGCCCCCATAACTGGTGTTTCAAGGGTCAGGCCAGCACTGTGCCTTCCCACTGGAGAATGAAGCGGAGAGAAGGTATTGACAGAGCATATCCACTTAAGCCGGTTTTTCACCCAAAATCTGGGAATGTTCCCTTACCAAGTTCTTGGCAAGTTGGAAATGCACCAGCAACAGAGATTACTTCCTGTGGGATTAGCTCAGAGAAAACAAAAATGTCACATTCAGTAAAGGCTCAGCCTATAGGGGTCCACTCTCCTTTTTCTGTACAACAATCTAATAGAACAACTTCTCATTCACAAAGAGCAGAGTCAGGCTATATTCAAAAACTGGAGGCTGCTGGACGAAGTTTGGAGGAGGAAATCCAGCGAAAGGAGGCTCTCCTTAGGGAGAAACTAAGGAAAACAGAAGAAGAGCTCCGTAAAATCCAGTGGAAAAGACAGCAGACTAAAGCAGAAGCAAAAAGAGAGCAAGGAGGATTATGGTTGCCCGAGAAAAAAATGACAGCTATTTCCCAAAACTGTGATTCCAAATCTACTGCACAACATGATAACGATAAAAAAATACTTGTTTCAGAGACTGTAATAGCTTCAATTGGGACTGCACTGCTTCCACAGACGCTTCATATGGAAAGGCTCAAAAAGCAACAATTGATAGCTAGCAACAATAAAATTAGAGATAACTTCTCCAATATTTCTTCCACTCAGAACCTAGAACCAGCATCTATACACAACCAGTCTTGTTCTCCAACAGGAAACCCAGTAAGTCATGCAGAATCAATGGCAGCAGAACCATCCTATATAGAGGTCCAGAATGATATAGAAGATTGGGGAGAATGCAATTTTTGTGGACGGAGACTTTACTCTTCCAGGTTGGAGAAACATATGAATATTTGCAGCAAACATTATGGATCCAAAAGAAAAGTGTTTGATTCAAGCAAGGCTAGAGCAAAGGGCACTGAATTGGAGACCTATCATCTCTTGAAGGGCACATATATTTCACAGGTGATGTTCATAACTAATTTATTAAATGTATCCCGCTTCTGTGGTTTAATATGGGGTTACGTAATGTATTTTCCAACTCATGTTTTTCAGCCTTAAGCTTGTTGAGCAGCATCTGGCTAAGATAACAGTTTGGTCTTTTTCTTCCGACCTTTCTTTAAAACATATCTCGTTTTTAATATCACTTGATGGTCCATAATTAGTTTTTAATTTGCATCATTTACATGCTGAAAATGATGTTCGGAAGACCCCCAAAACTAAGGCAAAATCTTCATTAATGTTTATTTAAGATACTAGTACTTGGCCTAGAAATACAGAGCAAGTTTAACTTTTTAAAAAAACCTTTATTATTCATGAACTAGGAGGCAATGAGAATGTGAAAACAAATGGTTAAACTGTTATATTACAGAATCTGTAATGAATGCTCAAAAGTCAGTACAAGAAGACAGACTGACAATTGGTTTTAGGGAAAACCATAAAATGAAGAAATAATTTATATTTAGGATGATGAAGGAAAATAATGTAGTAGAATCAAAACTTATTTCTTCACACTATCCAATTGATAACATTCTAGTGCAGTAAGTTTCATTCACAATTCAATTATGTTATTGAGATATTTTAATAATGGCATAGATTTAAAATGTTATATTATTAGCTTGAAATGACCTAAGAAAGAAGTGGAAATGACTTTTAAAAATTAATAAAATTTTCCCTTTACATACATTTCATAGTCCTAGTTATCTTGAATTTTTTAATTCAAAATGTATGACATTAGAAATAACCTACTCTTATATATGACAATATAATTTCTATAAAGAACTTTTATAGACACCCCTAGTGACTCAATGGTTAAAGTGCAGTACTGTAGGCAAACTCTGCCCCAAACTTACAGTTCAAGGTTGACTCAGCTTTCCATCCTCTGGGATCGCAAAAAGAGGACCCAGATTGTTTGGGAGCAATATGTAAATAATACTTCTATATTGTAAAGTGCCTAGAGAATGCTGTAAAGCTCTATGGGATTTTACATAGGCCTAAATTGCTATATTATTGCTATATAAGCTTAAATACTATTGGTATTGTCATAAAAAAATTAGCTACAATAATGAGCACAGTAATGAGCACAAAGTTGCATTGTTTTAAATTATTTTTCCGACTTCCCCTTCTTGCTGCAGAAAAAAACTTCTAGCCAAAGTCCTGAGACTCCCAAGCAAAGCAATACTACATCTAAACAAAGCAATTGGAGACAGAAGCATGACTCTTTCATCAAGACTTTGCGCAGGGCTCGTGAAGTGCAGCGCATTATCTCCCAAGGAGGAAAAGCCTCAGATCTTCCCCCAGCACCAGCTATGGAAAACCCAGACTACAAATTGTGTCCATATTGTACTCGTCAGTTTGCACCTAAGGTTGCTGAGAGACATATTCCCATGTGCAAGAACATTAAGAATAGGCCTCCACCACCACAGCAAAAAAAGCGTTGCTAGTAAATGGACAAGATGATATCTACAACTGGTGTAATCATACTTAGGTTTCTTGCAGTTTTTCTCAGTTTGATGCTATTGAGAAGTAGTTTCAGTGTAAAACCAATGAGAAATCCACTAATTTTAAATGGTCATTTTTATACTACAGGTCAAGGCACCTATTGGTAGAGAGACAAAAAGTGGTTTTGTTTTTATCATCTTGAAATTTTGTATTCTGTAAAAATGGTTCCCTGAGATTCCTTGCATATTTTGTAGTGGAATTTTTGCCTGTTTCTTAGAACATAGACGAAGGGCCCTACAAAAAGTCATATTAAAAATTGGAAGAAAATACTAAGTTCTTATAAATCATGGCTCTATACTTGTGACTCTTTGATGGCATCCAAGATCAATTATTTCTTGTATGAGCTGCCAGAGATAAATGATTCCCATTTCTGTGCTGAGTACCATAACAAAAAGCACCCATGTTCTAGAAAATTCATTTTTTAAATATTAGAATAATAGCTGGAGAAGAATAAGAGCTATGTCATTGTATTACATACTGCTATTTCCATTAGCTGGGAAAAGCTTTAAACAGTTTTTCCCCATTACATAGTTAGTGTTTTTCACTTTAATCTATAAAAATTGCTGTAAAAAAAGTAGAAATTTGGATGGATTGTTCTTTATAGCATAATTGTGGTACCTGATTTTCAACTCTCTACAACTTTAAGATCAGTGAAGGGAAACTGAGATAGTTATTTGGAAGTGGGGAGTTGTTTAGCTCTGCCTTTGCTAACAGATGAATGATTAAAATGTCTGGGAATAGGTCAACCAGAACAATCAGCAAACAAATAGAATAAATATATATATAAGCAAATTAGCTGTAAGCAAATTATCATAAAATATATAGAATGTAAGTTGCTTGCAAAGGCAAATGAATGTGGAAACATAGATTAATGCTTTGTTTGGAAAATACCAATTTTGCATAACACAGTTAGCAAAGTATAGTATGTGATTCCCAAAAATTGAATTGCTAGTTTTATCTGTGCCTCAAATTTTCAATGATCTGGTGCTAACGTAAAAAGCTTCCTTTTACAATAATAGGTTTAAAATTCATTATGTGATGTGAAAAATAATTGTTGCCTATGTTGCTAAATTTGTCAGAAGCTAAAACGTATGAAGAATGGTTGCAGAAATTGGGGTATGTCTAGTTTGATGAAAAGAAGGAATAAAGGGTGGCATGATAGCAGAGTTCCAGGATCTAAGGGGCTACCACAAACAAGCAATGGAGTCAACCTATTCTCCAAAACATCAAGCTAGAACAAGAAGCAATGGATGGAAAGTAATCAAGGAGAGAACCACCTAGGACATTCCTGACTGTTAGAACAATTAATCAATGGAACAACACTTGAGATTTTCAAGAAGATATTGGACAACCAATGGTATAGGATTTCCTGCTTGAGCAGGGGGCTGAACTAAATCTCCAAGGTCCTTTCCAATCTGTTATTCTCTTATGCTGTTTCACTAACAAAATGTCAAATGGATTTAAGCAGGAATCTTGGTTTTTACCAACTTCTTGTTCTTATTTTTCTATCTAGCTTTAGAAAGAAAACTTTTTAATAACTCTTTTGCACCATACATAGATTTAAATTATTTCAAAATGAAAGCAAGCTCAGATTTCATCTCTTGAGTAATAGTCATTAATATTATTTATCAAATCAGATTTTATTAGAGGTTGATGAGGTAAAATACAAGATAATCTTATTGCTGGATTCTGTGCCTATATTTTACTTTTGGAGACGCTTGCACAAAGAACAATACACAAAATTTGTCATTAATCCTGGTTTGCTATGATTGTGCTTGTATACGCAATAGCAATAGCAGTTAGACTTATATACCGCTTCATAGGGCTTTCAGCCCTCTCTAAGCGGTTTACAGAGTCAGCATATTGCCCTCAACAACAATCCGGGTCCTCATTTTACCCACCTCGGAAGGATGGAAGGCTGAGTCAACCCTGAGCCGGTGAGATTAGAACTGCTGAACTGCAGAACTGCAGTCAGCTGAAGTAGCCTGTAGTGCTGCATTTAACCACTGTGCCGGCTCCTTATTCTTTAATTTTTGAGAAACAAAAACATTTTTATTTATATAAAATTTATGTAGCTGCCCATCTCAGAACAGATTCTGGCTTGTGGCTCAAATTCAAATGAGATAATAAATTCAGTTTGTTTTACAAATCTAAAATTGTTTATACAAAGCACAGGTATTATATTAATATATCATGGAAAATGGAAGTTGCTTGTAATAATGGGAGGACCAATGATTGCTTTTTTATTATAGGTCAGAGGTGTTTATAGTTCTGTACTGTTGTCTTCATGTCTGTTGGGGAGAAGGCAGTGATTTGCTTTATTTTCCTTGAACTATGTTCTTGTCTTTTAAAAAGCTGTCCTATATTCGATATGGCTAAGTAATGTGTATAGTAAGAAAAAGATTTCTGCATGAAGACCTTTTTTGTATAAGATTAAGCTAAACCTCAAAATGTCTTTTAAAATGATATATCATACGATTGCAATATTTGTTACATATTCTCACTTATTTTATTTTTATTTATTAATCAAATTTATACACCCCATCTCACTATCTAAATGTCTCAGGGCAGTTTAAAAATAAAAAAAAACATAACATCTATACAAAAATAGACAAAGTTTAAAAACCACAATCTGGTTTAGTGGTTAAGACACCAGGTTAGAAGCCCAGGGGTTCTAGGTTGGATCCTCATGCTAATAGAGTAATGGCAGGATTCACTTACCTTCCCTACTGGTTCGCAAATGTGAGTGTGCACTGTTGCTGTATAAGCAAGGATCACAGGTTGTTAAGTAAGTCCCAGGTAGCTTGCTGGCAAGTTGGCAGGGAGGTAAGTGGCTGCTGCTGAACAGAAGATACACAGGTGGCTGGCACAGGGCAGCAAGGCTCTGGGTGGTTGCTCCTGAGCAGAGGATGTGCAAATGGTGGGAGTGTCTGTTGTTGGGGTGTGGGGCATAATCTGCATGGTGCAATATGAATGCACTAGAGATAACTGCTGCCAGATGGGGGAGAATACAAGTGATTTACTAAATGACTTGTGACTTTCCTTGCCAGTTCCCCTATTGACTTTGCCTGTGGGAAGCCAATGAAGGTCACAAGTAGCAATCAGATTTAACATAGGGTTTCTGGGATGGCTGGAACTTGAGGATCCATTCTAAAGCCCTGTTAGCCCTGTCATAAATTCAAAGTCATTGCAGCATGAATGGTTGTTAAATGAGAAAAATCTGTAACTATAATGACAAACTAAAGGGGCTAAAAAGTATTATTAACATAATATATACAGAAAAATGACTGGTTTTAAGTGTTGTAAGATTTTCATATCTGGCAGTAGAATTTTTACAAAGTAAAGTAGCGCACATTACTGAAAATATTCAAAAAACAACAGTAGCAGGAGGAAGATAAATATTGCCTGTGAAAATGTGGACCATGTCTGATCATGATAAATGTAGAATCAAGCAACCTCAAATGTGTTTTCCTTGAAATATCTTCAATTTCTATTAGAATTAATCAGGACAGAAACAATTGAGTGTCAAAATTTATTTAAACAGAAAACATCAAACCATTCCACTATTGCATTTTAGAAAAACAGATTACAACAAAATAATTCTCATACGTTGAATATCAATATAATAGATCAACAGCAATGCTAATAAGTAACCGTCATCTAAGAACTAGCACTGCTGAAAAAGGGAGAAGGGAAATGGACTTCTCAAAGGCACTTTGGCCTTTTCCCTTCATCCTTTAGGCAGGGCAAAATCTCTGCTTTGGTTGCATAGCAGGGCTGGGGCATATATCAGGATCTGTAACAGGCACAACTTGGACAGTGTCATATTTAAAGGCACACATATACTGCTGAGTGATCACCACTCAGTGCAGTGAATTAGTACTCAATTCAATTGTAGAGCACTGAAATAAAAACAGTGCTCTGAAATAGTGAATCTCATCTGCTCCATTATTTTTTTTACTAGCTGTAGCCCCAACATAATTGTTTTTTATAAAAAGACAACCTGTTGATAAAACAGTATTTTCATATGGGGTGAAAAAAACTTTAGTAATTTTTGGAGGGCAAGAAATCAACTAAATGGCACAATGACCTATTAAATATTTTAACAGAGCAAATTTTGGTTTAACATTCTTCCCCTTCTCCTTTTCTCAGTCTGGCAAAATTATAGAATACATAAGAGATGTTGGAGATATACGAGAAGTTGAGATTAAAATCAAGGGTCTAGCAAATAAAATAATGGATGCAAGCATACAAAAGAACTTTTTCTAAAGGTTATAGTTAAGCTGTAATAAAACCCCATACTACTATAAAGAGAAATGCAGAAATAGTTCTTAGAAATTATATCTATGCCAAAGGAGTAAGATAGTAAAGTAGTCCAATTAACAATATCAATTTTATTTTTAAATGTGAAAAATAAAGCAACATACCTTCAAACAATTTTCATGCATAGTTTAGTAATAATACTAGAGAAGAAGTGATGCATGATAATTGATTGTGACCACTATATTTGATGCACATACTTTGTTAAAAGCAATATTTAAGTCCAGTTTCATTAACTATTGAAAGGAAGCAAAAATACTGATTTAGGTCAAAAAAGAGGTTTTCCATAGTTCTTACTGGAATTCAGGCCAATTACTAATATGAGTCAAGTCATAAATGCGTCTGATTTCAAATTCCAATCACTCTGTCTGACATAAAAAACAGCGGTTGTTGGAATTCTAGAGCTAGAGATTTAGAGTAGCTGAAAGAGTTCAGCCAGTTCTTTTGCATTTGAACAATGCCTAATGGCAGTGAAAAAAAGAGGTTCTTGATGTCCTTCTCCAACATCCCTAAAACTATAAATAAGTTATCTGCAGACTCATGTATATGTGTTTAGAAATGAATATAAATAGAAACTTGTTTTTTTCTGTTGGATGCTTTCATCCGCTTTTTAAAAAATATTTCACCTTCTTCAAACTTCATTCTTAGAGGCTAAGATGCTTCTCCTTTAACTTTATCAGCTAAAATAACTCAATAATTAAGAGCATTCAATTTTACTGTCAAAGTAGGTGTTTGCTGGCTTTCTCTTTTCATTAATTTTTCATCTTTGAATTGCTTGAAGATGAAGTGAATACTATTGCAGATTCATTGCTGTTCTTTGAAAGTTAGGAAATAAACGAAGTGCTGCTGCTGGACCATTCCTGGGAATGGTGTTACTGACTCAACAATACACTGAGAGAACTCACCATTGTCATACCTGCACAGACTTTGGTTTGAATTTAAGTGTTCACACACACTCTAAATTCCCTCCTAGTTTCATAGCTTAAGGCAGTGCTTCCTCTCTTGCATACGTGGAGACTATGGAGACTCTTGACTTCATTGCTCACAAAGGACCTGAATCTAGGAAAGCTGTTCTCTGCATGTAGTTAATGTTGTGTGAAAATGAATAGGTTCCAGGATTTAAAGACTACAGGCTAAAGCGGCATGAGTCAGTTCCAAGGAGACACCAGGACTCAGAATCCAAGTCAGGCTTTGGATCGGATTCCATCTCTTCTTTGGATGTTTGTGTAGCTTTGGAATGAGATTCCAGCTGTTCAGATTAAAAAGAAAACATATTCACAATTGGAAAAAAAAATCTACAGGAAATGGTTCAACGTGAAATGTATTCAACTGAATATTTCATTTAACCACAATTGCTTTGTGATCTCTGTACTAAGAACAAAATGGTCATGGAAGGCCTAACAGCTGTTTGCTCAGATTGTCAAGGAAACACTGCTGAAATAGAAACGTCCCATAAACATCCCATAAACCAACTCAGCTGGAACTTATTTATGAACTAGTTTGTCTCTTAACGGTGGCTACAGTATCTATTCTTTAAGGGTCTGAAAAGGAACAGAAAGTGGGAAAAAGCTGGTGTGTTTTCTTAAGTATCATCTTATCAGCATCCTGGTTGTTTCAGCAGGGAAATATAAATGAACAGTGATATAAAGTCACACCTGTTTCCAATTAGGCTGAATAAGCACCCACAACTTGTTTAAAATAACCGGGGCCATTTGGGGAAGAGCTGGTTCAGAGTATTACTTGCAAAGTCTCAAACAAATATGCCAGGTACTTAACAGATAAATTAACTCAGATTTGTTCTAAATTGAACTCCAACTTTGAAGTAGGTCTGTGAAGGTGAATGCAGCTTAATTTGTGGTTTTCTGGGTGGAATTTGATCCTATTAGTCTTGATGAATTAGGGTTCTAAGAAAGAGTTCTAGGGACTACTAGCTTAGCCAACTGTATATTCAAATCCATGACCCTATTGATTGGCTAAGGCTTCCTAGGGAGTGGTTTTACTATCCTTTAAAGAAGCCATTCTATAGTGCTGAACATTTTTTGTACTACCACAAACAGAACCAGTGTGCAATTTGAAGGACCTTCTGGATTCCCAAATCTTGTTTGAGGAACAAGTCACCATGGCCAAGAGCAGTTTTGCACAACTTTGTGTTGTGCGCCAATCTGTTCCTAGTCATGCACACACCTTAATCGCTTAAGAGCCTATGAGCCTGAAAGCCCTATGAAGCGGTATATGTCTAACTGCTATTGATATTGCTATTCCTGAATTGGGGTAATGCAATGTACTTTACCTTAATCGCCTCCTAAATTGGGGGTAATGCAATGTACTTTACATGGGGCTGTCCTTGAAGCGCATTCAGAAGCTGTAATTAATTAGGGTGACTGAGGCCCCATCAGATTTGCTTGGAGGTGTAGGTATTGTTGACTAGAATGTAATTGTTAGCTTTTCCCAGAAAAAAAAAATACCTGGTGAGTTCCTTGTCTCCTAGAGAGAACTTGCAGCTGGGCATTAAGACGGGCAGTTTCTTGTTGTAATTTTTCTTGATCTGCCAAGCACTTTGATATTAAGCCACTCAGACGTTCCACTTCAGCTTGCAGAAAACTGCATTTACATTCAGATGATGCCACAGGCAATTTTCCTCTATCACAGGATTCTGCTGAATCCAAGACTAGCTGCTGTAAAAAGAAAATCAAGTACATTCATGAATAAGTGTTATAGAAAAATTTGAAAATATATGTTTTTCTAAATTACTATAGATAATCATAGCTGGGAGATTAGAACTACTAAAAGCCTAACAGATCAAAATACTAAATAATTCTAGAATAATTAGCTAATTAGCAAATCTCTGCCAATGTTCTAGCTATAAATTTGAAATATAGATTCCTTTAGGAATGAGGAATATTTCATCATTTTTGCAAATCTTTCTGCTTCTTTTAGTGCTGTTTTCATATTTTTTGTTTTCCCAGTTTTATTTATTTATAAAATGTATGGGCCACCTAACTTACCTCAAGGTAATTCTGGGCAGCTTACAATCATAAAAGATAAAACCAGATTTTGTGAAACTATGATAAATGTAGAATGAAATGTTCTTTACTAGCAATGGCCTCATACAATTCTTAGAAACCTCTATTTATAGAGGGGAATAATTTCTGTCATCCAACCTTAAAATCTTACACACTCATACACCTCTTTGAATTATATTTTTTTCTCAGTTATGTAGATCCTTACCCTAATTATTTCATGTATTTTACTTCATCTCTTAATGAACATTTGTACGCTTTTCATTTTGCACCTTATTCCTTCCTCCAACTCAGATCCCAAAGTACAGAAACTATTTCCATATATTTATAGATGTTTACATTACCCAAGACTCTGATTTGGATTCGTTAATGTCAACTGGTGTGGGCGAAGGCATATGGAGTCCTTTTAGTTCATTGTAGGGAAAAGTTTCTTTGTCAGATCTGGAAGAGGCTAAGCTTTCAAGAGAAGGGGTTTGGGGCATTGGGATGAATTCTGCATTCTCCAGCTCCTATTTCACAAAGAGAGCAAGCAAATAAGAGTATAAAGATATTCAACATGCTTATATTGGATGTTACAAAAGAAATAAGAATGAGAGACCAATTAATTATTTTAAAGTAAACATTATCTTTTAACTCCGATGGTGAATTTTAACTGCTGATGATGCATCAAATATATTAGCACACTAAGTACATACATATTCTGAATGAAATGGAATTCAGTATCCCATTCCTATCAAAAGAAATACTACCTACAATAAATAATTGTTTGAACTGTTGAAGAGAAACTAACTGCTCTTCAGGATTATAAATTCATCAAATCTACACAAAGAAATACTGTATAGAATAGTATTACTGTATTTTTCAGAGTATAAGACGCACCTTCCGCCCCCCCCCTTAAAAGAGGGTGAAAATTTGGGTGTGTCTTATATAGGCCCACACATCTACCGGCCCCAATCCTTCAGCCTCTGCCTCCCAGCAATTTACCTCTTTGCAGCAAACAGGGCTTGCAGAGGCTTCAATAAGCTATAGCAATCCCTGCAGCCTGTAACAGCTGGTGATTGGTAGAACTTGAAAGTGAAACTTGCTGTTTGCTGTAGGGGGCAAATTGCTGGGAGGCTTTTTTTTTCTTTCTTGTACTAATCAGGCTGTTTGCTGCAAGGAGGTAAGTCCAACAACTATAAATGCCTATAGAACTTTCAAATTATTACATTTATTTTTAAAAAACTGCTTTATTATTATTCTAGACAACTTAACAAAATGAAGCTTTTAAAAATAAATGCTTGATCTGAAGAGGTCCCGTGCTATTGTTTTAAAAAGTGCTATTCTTTTAAATAACAGAGAATAAATATACTTCCAGAAAGCACATCAATTTTAATAGCATCTGTACAAGTATAGTCTGAAATATAAGACTACAGTGTATATTGTCTGTACTGTTC